AGAGCCTGCAAAGATGACTTGGGAATAAAATGAGTAACATCTTCAAGCCTTCAGGCATTTTGCTCTGTTACCAGCTATCAAGGTCATTTTATAAAATTTGTGAACCAGCTGAAGCTAACTTGTTTGTAGCTCTCCAGTTTTTAATGTAGTATTTGTGAATGTTCCACAAGAGTAAAATTAGTAGCCTAACACAGCAATAATCGTAAATATGTTAATGTATCTCTGGAATATACTTGCTTAAGCAAGGATGTATACCTGTGAATATATGGTTTTATTATTTATTATTTTAATCAGGGAAAGGCAGCCAAGCACATTTTATTTATGGTGAGTCTCAAAGTATCTATTTTCAGGCCATTACTTCTTGCATGGAAAATAGCAATATGTCAAAATGCTTTCTAAGGTATGCGTTGCATCTGCACCCGAGTGATTTTTTTTTTCATAGAAAAATAATAAATTTTAGTTGTTACCATGTGTTTTGATGTATAAATTCAAGTAATTGTTGCTCTGGGGTCAATGTTTCAACATCCATTTGTATTGGAAAGGAGAAGAATTCTCTGCCTGTTTAAATGAGGATTTATTACTTCAGTCGGTGTTAATTTAGCAAGTGAGTAGAGGGACTTGCCAGCTAATAAAATAGATCAAAATATTTATTTTTAAAAAACCAGAAGAAGAAAAAAAGACTTTTATAGCAGAACAGATAAGCATGTGTATAGCAGGTGTGTATTCTGGGGTTTTGCATGTGAGCGTAGCCACGTTGCTTGGCAATTACACCACAATTTTTATTAGCCTTTATAATACAAAATTGTTGATCAAAATCGGTGGGAGATGTTGTCTAGTGCCATTAGCTGTAAATGAGATGTGTTGCACTGGGAATTGTTCTGCTGGTGTGTTTTAATGCCTCCACGATTCTTGTGATCAGGAGATTGGTGTGACGTTGCCGCTGTAAAATGAGAGAGTAATTGCAGCTCTGACAGTATTTGGCTAGTAACACTGAACTGGATTGCCTCAGAAAGTTTAGTGGAAGGCAAAAAAACTATTAAATGTTTTCGTAACTACATAGTTTGTAATCTGCAAAACTCCAGTCAGCCGTTTGTGGCGTTAACCAGCTCCATCAGGCTAGTGTGCAACGCAGTGTATCGTAGCGGAGGAGCCCGCCTGAAACACTGAGAAATGCGATTGCTGCTTGCTTGATTTGACGTCGGTGAAGTGGCGGTTAACAAAAATCTTGTTGAAACAGACCTTTTTGTGCACTTCTGCCGGAAGGTATTTTGCCAGGCATAAGGAAGGCGCGCACGGAGTTGGGGTTTGGTTTTCTAATGTACCCGAGTGCCTTCGAATGTTTGTCCGTAATCCGCTCTAGCAGAAGCTTGGGACTGTTCTGCCGGAGGCTGGGCCGTGTCTGGACAGCCTCAGCTGACGTGGGGGGGGGAATCCTCCAGATCCGAGTAAAATTAGGTTTTGCATTTCACAAAATTTTGGATCAGGACACAAAGCTGGCACAGCTTTTAGGAGGGGAGACTTGAAGCTTTTCCCAGAAGCTTTGGCTGAATTGCTAGGCTGCACTGGTTTTTTCCAGACTCGTATATCTAGCTTTAGAAAGGAGACTTTTAGTTAAAAAAAAAATCCTCTGTGTCAGTTTGCCTGTGAATAGCTTGAGTGAGACTTTCCCTGTTCCCTTTCGAACAGGAAGAAACCCTGTAGCTGTCATGTTTGAAGATGGGGATTTCAATAGCTCTAACAGCTATTTCTTCTTAACGTTTACAGCTGCTACCGATGTGTAAATGGTTTGGATGTTTTTTCCTGCACTATTAGGACCAGGTTATTTACCCGTTCCTTCACATAAAGTAATTGTTGCCGCGTAGAATTCTGTGCTTTATTCGTACAGCGTTTCTATGCTTTGACTGCTTTTAAGCCTAGCAGCTTTAGATCGCTGCTTGGCTGGCTTCCTGCTAAACTTACTCTTTCTGAATTCATCTTAGCTGGCCACCAGCCTCCTTCATGCAGAGAAAGGTAAGCTGACTCGACAATACCAAAGAACCGTTAGCACTTCCAAAGAATATTCATTTAGATTTTTAGGTCCCTACTTTTCCTTGTGCTAGTAATCATCCGATTTTGTTCAGACAGTTGTGTTTCTCTTTTGTTTTGTTTACTCAGGGCCGCCAGGAATGTTTAATGTATTTACTGAATTTTTATCTTCTTGATAATCTAGAAATTCCATGCGGCTGAAGTTGGGCTCTTAAATAAGTGTCCTTAGAGGCGTGTTGTCTGGGGGGGTGGTGGGAAGGGTTGTTTTGTGCTTTGCAAGGCTAGGTCAGTTCGGGCCTTAAATCAAGCCCGATTTAAGCAGATTCTCTTGCTGACTTCCCCCCCCCCCTCGCATCATGGGAAGGACATTCTGCTTTACTTAAACCTTTGCCATCTCGTTGGACTAGAGACTAGGAGATTAGGAGTGCAATCAAACCAGGCTTTAAAAATAGAGGTGCTGATTAGTTGCATTTCTTTGGCTGTTTGGTCAGGCCATCGGTAACCGCTTTGGAAGAAAGCGTTGTAAAGGATGCTTCCCTTTCTTCCTTTCCTTTGCTTTCCTTCGTCAGAAAGTAGGTGTCGTCCCTTACGGAAAAGTGTTTTGACTGCCTGCTTCAAAAATTTGGTACATCGATGATCTGCTTTTTCACTAGCATAATGTGCTTTGTCTTTTCCTGGGAAAAACATGATAAAGAAGAAGAATTAATTGTCTTTGTAGAAAATGTTTTTGCAAGGCATCGGCTTTCATACCCCTTCCTCAGGGAAGCGTGTTTCTCTCTCGCTGTGCAGCTGATAAGGCTGAAGTAAAAACGTAGAAGGCATTTTGTCCAGAGCCACCGTGACATCTCTCTGCAGCCCTCAGGAGCTGAAGGTGATGGCTGCAATTCATCTCCGTGTCTGTTCCACCGGACACATCTGCCTTCAGCCTAAATCCCGCTAGCGAGCGGCGTCCTAACGGCGCGCCAGCTACACTAGGAGATTAAGAACAAATTCTGTCAATACTTTTTTCCTTTTTACCTGGGTTGTCACCACTAGTGGCAAGCTGGTGGAGGAGATTTGGGCAGCTCCTGACGTCGTCTTGCAGCTGCCTGCTGTGTACTGCTGCCTTTGTTTTAACGGGGGCTGAAAGTCAAGACAGGAGTTTGGCGGAGTTGTCTATAGGGGATCGCCATGTCGGTGCAGTGTTTTTTGCTCATCAAATGGAGCAGCTTAAGCGATTACTGTCTCAGGTGTTGGGAGTGATTTCGGCTAAACTGTCTCATTTCTACCGAAGGAGAACAGAGGAGCATTCATATATTCAAGGGAAGTGTCTCAGCTAGGGGGTAAACTTACTAAGCAGCATTTGGACTGGTAGAAGTACAGATGGGAGATTAATGTCATCATGCCTGTGGTTGTAGCAATCATTAAAGACACGGACCTGCTGGAGAGGGTCCCGAAGAGGGACACAAAAATGATCAGGGGGCTGGAACACCTCTCCCATGAAGAAAGGCTGAGAGAGTTGGGGTTGTTCAGCCTGGAGAAGAGAAGGCTCTGGGGAGACTTTATTGCAGCCTCTCAGTACTTAAAGGGGGCTTATAAAAAAGATGGGGACAGACTTTTGAGCAGGGCCTGTTGCGACAGCACAAGGGGGAATGGCTTTAAATTAAAGGGGGGTAGATCCAGACTAGATATAAGGGAGAAATTGTTTACGCTGAGGGTGGTGAAGCACTGGCCCAGGTTGCCCAGAGAGGTGGTGGATGCCCCATCCCTGGAAACATTCCAGGTCAGGCTGGACGGGGCTCTGAGCAACCTGATCTAGTTGAAGATGTCCCTGCCCACGGCAGGGGGGTTGGACTAGATGGCCTTGAGAGGTCCCTTCCAGCCCAAACCACCCTATGATTCTATGATTAAAAGGGGTTTACTTTGAAAATAGGACAAAAAAACCCATGTTGAAACTCTGGGCTTTACCTCAGAAATAAAAAACCCTCTGATGCTTGGAACTGGGAACCAACTACTGGAAACCCAGCACTGCTGCCCCTTGGTCGGATTCAGTTTGTCACGCTCATCTTCAAAAATGCTAATACCATTGGGAGCCAAGGTTCGTGTAAAGGGAAGAAAGGAAAACATGACACTTTCTCAGTTTGGGTGCTGAATGTTTTTGATAGAATGCATGGATATTTTCCTATCTTGTATAATTTCATCCTGGTTTTCTTTTTTTACCGATGGGTCTTTCACACAACACACGTAAAGTAGCATTTTTAAAAGAGTATAACATACCATTATTCCCCTTTTCCCCCAAACAACAGAGAGGGTCGGATATGCTTTGGGGTTTAGGTATTTTAAGTTTCTCGCATCCCTTGAGAGAGGTGCATCAATGTTCGTGTTCAGCTATGCTTTAAAAATGAAAAGCCTTTTAAAAGGACAGTTAGCCTGTCTGTCTGCTACTGCAAGTTGAAATGCTAATAAATGGCCCTATTTCTTACTCTGAGAGCTCTCAAGCCTTCCAATTTGATATGTGAAATTAAAATAAAATTCCAACTTTTCAAGCAATATTTTTAATAGTTTTCTTTGTGTTTAAAAGCACCGAATTGTCTTCCTTGCATACTGGTCTAAGTGGTTGATTTCAGTGGATTCAGGATTTCAAGGCAGTGGTACAATTCTTAATTTTTAGATCACATTCTACCCCAAGCCCACCAGAGTTAACGGATATCTTTCAATTGAATTTAGGTGGTTTATGTTAAGCCCATAGTATAATACATTTAAAGTTTTTTAAACTCTTCTTTTTTTGAGCATGTAATGTGCAGGACTTTTCATTATATGAGAACTTAAGTACTTTTGTTATAAAGCATGAGGTGAGGTAATTGCCTGTGTTAGTAATTGCATACTTGAAAAGTAGCAATGCAAGAAATGTGTTGTTGCTGGATGCATCGGCTTTATTTGATAAGAGAACCGATAGTAGTCTTAACAGCAACACGTTCTTTTTTTCTTTTCTATAGGATGCGAGATACTGCAAGAAAAATAGAAGAAAAGTATTTTTCCAATCTTGCAACGCATGTTGAATTCCTTCCGGTTGAATGGAGATCAAAACTTACCCTCGATGGAGGTACATTACTTGGTTCTTTTGCTGTTCCAGTAGCTGCAGTCTGCAAAATTGTCCCCAGAAGTTTCACGCCGTGTTCTCTGCCTGTGCCTCGTTTGGATTTTATCAGTCTCCTGCACGTAACTCAAGTCTCTCTTTTTTTTTTTTTTTTTTTTTTCCCCCCTAGACACTGTGGACTCCATTACTCCAGATAAAGTACGAGGTTTAAGGGATATGCTGAACAGCAGCGCGATGGATATCATGTATTACACAAGTCCCCTTTACAGAGATGAAGTAAGTGTGTTTTTAATCTAAGTTTTACTAGAGCAGGGCATAGAGGCTGAAACAAACTGGGCTTAGGAATGTAAGCAAAGCTTCTTTCTGAGAGACCCTGCACAAAGAATACTAACGCTTTGCAAGTTTGTAATGGTCGTTCACAGTAATCAAAACACAGAGTTTTAAGAGTGAGAGGAGTAGAGAAACAGCAAAAAGTACGATCACTGTAATTTGTTTAGAGCAGAAATGGCTGTCTAAAATGGGTCTGTATCAGCGGCTTAGAAATGGGAAGGTTTTTTACGGGGTTTTCATGCATCCGCATATTCGGAGCAAGGGGAGTCCATAGAGCTGAGATTCTTCTTACCTCTTGCGAAATCTGTGGACGTTTGTCATTTCATTTGTGTTAGATGGGATGGCAGCACGTGTAAACACGCCCAAGCCAGTTTTAATGCCTTTGTGCACACTTTCCTTGACGGCCCTCAGTTACCTGTTTGTTAGAGGACTGTTCATATAGTGGAAGCTCCCATCTTACCTTGCCACATCTGTGTAGGCCCATGTGTGCTGTAGTCTGCGTAGCTGTAGAGTGACCCCGTTAATCAGAGGGGAAAAGCCTTGAGTAAGTGATAAAGTAGCCCGTAAAATACGTACGGCGCATCACCCCAATAGCATCCTTTCTGTGTCACACTTACTGGAAAACCCCTGGGGGGATGTTTTAGGATTAGTTTCTATAGGAATGCCAGGGTTTTCTGTATTGACTACATTATGTATGGAGTAATGGTAATCTCTTTGCAGCCTTGGTGCTCTGCGCATGGTTAGGCTGGGGCAGGGGAGAGAGACTTTCAAAGTTTCCCTGTGGACGTGATGCTACCGTTCATTAAAATTAGATATGTATAAGAGCTTTAGACTGGCGATATAATTTTAAACCCTAAACTACCTAAGAATACTTCTTTTCCTGATAGCAGGTGGTGAGATCGCTATGAGCCTTTTAAGCTTCCAGCACTAGCAATAGGTGCACCGAAAGCTGTACCTCCCCTGTTGCTCAGTAATGCACAGTTCATTGTTCAGGGCTCCTGGGTTCTCCGCTGTGTACGGGGTTTCTCTGGCTGTTGTGGAACTGAGGCCAGCGTGAACTTTTGTGGCAAGCGATAAAAACTTCTCTGGCGGCTCTAAAATAGATTTTTAAACTGCATTAGGGGTTTGGCATGTCTGTGGGCATCTTATGGGAAATGGATTAGCGAGTAAAGTTCAGGTATGCTGGCCAACAACGCATGAAAAATTTAAATTCATTGCTCAGCAGAACTGTAGTTTTGTAGGTATATCGCCATCCCTCAAGCACAAGAATTGACAAACAAAATGTGTGCTGTGGCTGTGCTTAGATCTGATTACACAAGACTAAGCTGTTTTCGTTACCGAATCAAGTGAATTTTCTTGAAATGATTGCAACAAGTTGATCGTTACCTTACCATATTCAGACTGCATTGATAAATCTCATAACTTTCTCAAAGCAAAGTTGTACAATTTAAATGGCAAGTATTTGTCCAAAAAGGAAAGTGGTGTTACAAAGGAAATGTTAAAACTTTGAAGAACAGGTTTCTGAAACGCGTCTTCAGTGTGGCAGCCAAAATGTTTGGGATGCAGGTTTTCTGGTTGTTCGTTCAGCCACGGAGTTTGTGTTCTGCCAGTGAGTTGTCAGGGACGTGACTTCTTAGAATCATAGAATCATAGAACCATTAAGGTTGGAAGAGACCTCCAAGATCATCGAGTCCAACCGTCAACCCAACACCACCATGCCCGCTAAACCATGTCCCTAAGCGCCTCATCTACACGTCTTTTAAATACTTCCAGGGATGGTGACTCAACCACTGCCCTGGGCAGCCTGTTCCAATGTTTAACCACTCTTTCAGGAAAGACATTTTTCCTCACGTCCAATCTAAACCTCCCCTGGCACAACTTGAGGCCGTTTCCTCTCATCCTTTCGCCAGTTACTTGGGAGAAGAGACCAACCCCCACCTCGCTACAACCTCCTGTCAGGGAGTTGTAGAGAGCGATGAGGTCTCCCCTCAGCCTCCTGTTCTCCAGGCTAAACAACCCCAGCTCCCTCAGCCGCTCCTCAGCAGACTTGTTCTCCAGACCCCTCACCAGCCTCGTTGCCCTTCTCTGGACACGTTCCAACTTCTTGTTTGATTCTGCTCATTTGGTTAGGAGTTGTGTAAAGCTCATAGTCATTAAATAGTTTTTCTATATTTTTTCACCTTTTATTTTGCCTTTACCTACGGAAAGGAGACTTGGTTTGGGTTTTGGGGTGGTTTTTTTGGTTACTCTTTCTTATCCCATTTTATTTTCTGTGACCTAACTTTGCAGAGTTTAAACACAATATTATCAAGCTGAGCATTCTTCTGGAAAGACAGTTGGGGTTTTTCCCATGTTCAGTGTGGCACTCTGTCCTGAGTGCTCATTCCGGCTCAGAAATGAGCCGTGTCATAAGTATTCACATGGTCACACGTTGCTCAGAATTAGTATTCCTGCTCGCCACTTCATAACGCCGACCCCATTTGTTGTGTACTGGGGGCACTCCTAACGCTTCCCATCCAGAAATCCTAAAAGATCTCAAAAGGAGCTAATTAAACTTCGCTGTGCCCCTGTGAAATAAATTGAGCAGTGCAGCGAGTTCAGCCTAGAGAAGAGTAAAGCTGCTATTCACCTGACAACACTCAACGATACTTTGATGTGAATTTTCTTTCTACTTCCAAGGATTTTCCCCACGTCTAGAAGTAACGCAACTGCTTCTTTAAAGGTTTTGAACACTCTTTAAACAACTCATTAAGGCATTTGCAAGTGAGTAGCCACTATCTTCTTTCAGGGGGGAAGAAGCCTTGTCACATCAGCTTTCACATGAGATAGCAGAGAGCTGTTTCAGATGTAGCTGGATTGCTCTGCTAAGCGTTATGGGAGCGTGGTGGATAACCCCCTCTCTGGTTTCAAGTATTGTTTCTTCTGCAGCGTAGTAGGAGAATATCCAAAAGGTGCCTCTAACTTCTGGCATGTAATGTGATAGCAGGCAGGTATTAATAGTTCAGTACAGCCCTAGGAGCATCTCGGACAGTCTGGGCTCAGAGTTCAGTCTGGAGGATGTCTGCAGCCAACAGATCCAGTTGTGGTGGTTGTGTGTGGCTGCAAGTGAATTGTGCTGTGCAGGTCCTCATCTATACAGAGGTCCACGATGAGTAAAACAGAATCCCTCTTTAAACATTACACAGATAATAAGGAAAAGCAATAAACTGATATTTTGATGCACACGTGCCTGTTTCTAAATGCACAGTCATTTCAAACTTTTATTTCTGACCTTGCTAGTGCCATCTATGGTAACATAACCTTGGGGTTTAGTGTCTTCAATAGGTGACTTGGTTTCACATCTGTGTCACTGCAGCTTCATATTTCTTTAATAATAAATGGCTGTAATGGAGATTAAAAAGACTAATTGATGCATAGTAAATTTAGTATTGTCACCTTCATTATATTGTTAAGTGCTTATTTTACTGATCTTCACTGTACTGACTTGCAGGCTAATTGTAATTCTGTAAATTATTGATATATGTCTTGGCAGAAAATGCCTTTAGTGCAGGATAAATATTGTTTACATCTGTCATCCCAAGATCTCTAAAGACTTAGTGCAAATATTGCAGTAGTCTCAGAAGATTAGTAGGAGAGGTTTATGGATGACGTCCGCCGCAGCTGAAGAGCAGGGAAACGCGGTGGGTGTTGAACATTTCTCACCAGCTGAGGTCAGGAAACGAAGAAGCCAGGGTCTGGGACGTGGTGGCTGTGGGCTTGGTGTTGGAGGTGCATTACCGGCTTGAGGAGGCCAGGGGGAACACAGCGTAATGCAGCCAACCTAGCATTGCCCCCTTGGGCAGACTTCACTGTCCGCCTTGAAACGGCTTGATGGTTTGCTGTTATACACACATTAAAAAGGGGAATTAATGACTATACTCTTGAAATTTGGGACAAGTATTAACTTTTACTAGAGCTTTCATCCCTTTTTGATACGAGGTTTAGCAATGGAAATGTCCTTCTCTTGTGCACTTCTTTCAGCAATAAAAGGCAATTGTTTTATGTGTGTTTGAAAACGAGAGGGATGTGAAGCAGGAAATATTTAACTGAGACTATTTCAACACCGGTTTTGCTTATTCTGTTGAACCTAATAGTCAAGGAGCTGCTTGGCAGCGCTTTCATGGCTTGCTTAATTCATTTGATTGTTCTTGAACGTGTGCTCAGCTTTAAAAAGTGATAGGTTACTGGATCTGCCTGAACCTGAACTTAGTCTTGAACACAGCGGCTTGGTTAGAAATGGATTAGACTCAGCTTTGCAACAGAAGGAGGGGAGCTGAGAGAGAGACTCGGGTCTGGGCAGATCCGCAGATCCTTTTTCTGTAACATCGCTAAGACACCATTCCTGTCTGTTCACACAGCTAAGTCTCATTCTGGCCTCTCATCTGTTGTTGTGACACTCTTCTGGCATCCATCAGTGATGCCGTCAGGGAGCAGGACAGCTGTTGTATTCTGGAGGGTCAGCAGTCTCCCCATCTCTGCGTTGTGTGCTGGCACGTTCTTCTGGTTCACGTGAAGCAAACACTCCTTGTCTTCGCTTTCATGGTCCTTTACAATCCATCCTTGAGCTGCAGATCTTTCGTTGGCTTTTAAGGACCTTCTTCTACCTCCAGTTGGCTCACATACCTTCTTATTGCCTGCTTGCTGAATTTCAAATGAGTTTGCACTTTCTCCTGAAGTTCTCTCGACATTTGGAGGGAGCTGCTTGCGAAACTCCCTGTTCCTCAGATCTCCTTAAAATTCCTTTCCCACGAAGCCTACTGAAACAGTCATGCTATTCAAGCTGGAGTGGGTGCAGAGGTCAGGTTTCCTGCACTCCCTTTTCACATGTAGCTGTCTGTTATTTTCTTGTCTTGGGCTTCAAGCTGTTCATGTGAGATTGTCCAGTGGGTGAGGGTCCCATGGCAGAG